GTGCCATAATTCTCGTCCACTATTGTGATAGTTTGTTGTAGGTCGTTTTGGTTGTGTGTTCCTAATATTCCAGAGCTAGAGACAAAGATATTATTTAATACTATCAAGTTTCGATGCCTTAAAATAACACGTAAATATTTATACTTATTCCGATTCTGATTCTGATTCCGTAACCAAAGAATGCAGCAAATGCCATACTATAACAAATAACAAATAACATATCGTTTGGTAAGATATATTAGGGAACGGTGAGGTTCAAGGAAAAGTGAAAACCAAGAAAGCGGCATATTTGAAGCTAGTGGAAAGCGTAAACGGGGAGGAAAAAAGGACGAACAAGGAGTGGTATAAGATGGCTAAGAAGGAGGTGAAGTTAGAAGTTACAACGATTAAGACTGCATCATTTGATCGTTTGTACGAAGAACATAAGGGCAGAGACGGGGATAAGAGGCCGATCAAGCTAGCCAAGGTGAGAGAAAGGAAGGCCCGTGACTGGGACCAAGTGAAGTGCATCAATGACGAAGAAAGTAGAGTTTTGTAGGATGAGGGGATATCCAGCGGAGGTGACAAACTTACTTCCATGGTCTCTTGAATGAAGAGGGACACATAGACATTGTGCTAGGGATTTAGAATCCTCCGAGAGTCGTTGTGACTTTGGTTATTGTAGGCGGATTAGAGTTGAGGAGGCTGAGGGGGCTATGTGTAAGAAGAGCAGGGGAAAAGCGATCGGGCCAGATGAAATCTCGGTGGAGTTTTGGAAGAGTGTGGACAGAGCGGACTTGGAGTGGCTCACTAGGTTATTTATTTTCATTTTTAGGACGAAGAAGATGCCGAGGAATGGAGGTGAGTACGATGGTTACTTTGTATAAGAACAAGGGTGATATCCAAAATTGCAACAACTATTAGGGTATCAAGTTGCTTAGCCATACTATGAAAGTCTGGGAAGTGATGGTGGAGCTAAGGTGAGGAGGAGTGTGTCTATTTTCGAGAATCAGTTCGTATTTATGCCGGGGCGTTCGACTACGGAAGCTATTCACCTTGTTAGGGTATTGATGGAGTAGTTTAGGGAGAGGAAGAGGGATTTGCATATGGTGTTCATCGACTTAGAAAATGCATATGAGTAAAGTCCCGAGCAAGGTCCTATGGAGATTTTTGGAGACTAGTGTACCTATGGCTTACATTAGGGCGATTAAAGACATGTATGATGGAGCTAAGATCCGAGTGAGGACAATAGGAGGGGACTTAGATCACCTCCCGGTCATGATTGAGTTGCACCAATAGTCGACACTCAGTCCTTTTTTGTTTGCCCTGACAAAAGACGTACTGATACGCCACATCTAAGGGGAGGTGCCATGGTGCATGTTATTTGTAGATGATATTGTATTGATTGACGAGACGTGAGGTGGTATTAACCCGAGGTTAAAGTTGTGGAGGCTGACTTGGAGTCTAAAGGTTTCAAGTTGAGTAGGACTAAGACATAATATTTGGAGTGTAAGTTCAGTGGGGCGACTTAAGGTTTCAAGGGGAAGTTTTAAGTACCTTGGGTCTATTATATAGGAAAATAGGGAGAACGATAAAGATGTTACACACAGTATTGGGGCGGGATAGATGAAATGGAGACTTACTTTCGATATTTTGTGTGATAAGAAAGTGCCAACAAAACTTAGAGAAAAGTTCTACACAGTGGTGGTCAGGCCGACCGTTGTATATGACTGAATATTGGCTGGTCAAGAGCTTCTATATCTAGAAGATGAAGATAGCGGAGATGAGGATGTTGAGATAGATGTACAGGCACACAAGGCTAGATAGGATTAAGAATAAAGTTATTCGAGACAAGGTGAGTATAGCCCCTATTAATGAGAAGATGCGGGAGACAAGACATATATGGTTTGGGCATGTGAGGAGGAGGAACACATTTGCTCCGGTCAGGAGGTGTGAGAGGTTGACATTGGAAGACCTAAGAAGAGGTAGAGGTAGGCCGAAGAAGAATTGGGGAGAGGTGATTAGGCAAGACTTGGCGCAAACTTCAGCTGACCGAGGACATGAATCTTGATAGGAGGGTGTGGAGGCCGAGGATTAGGGTAGTAAGTTAGTTAGTTGAGTGTTTTCCTTGTTCATACCAGTAGTATTAGTGCGTAGTTTCGTATTGTGTTGGTATTAGATTTCTATGACTACCTGTTGTTTCTCTCATTTCGGTTATCTTACTATCTGGTTGTTATTTATGATGCTTTTACATCACTTCTCGTTGTTGCACTTCTTGTTTTTCTCTTTATTAATGTGATGCTTATGCTTTCCTGAACCGATGGTCTATTGGAAACAACCTCTCTATATCAAGAAGGTAGGGGTAAGACTGCATATACACTACCCTTCCCAGACCTCACTATGTGGGATTATACTGGTTTTTGTTTTTGTTGTTGTTGGATAAGAACTATTTAGTACTATGCAATGCATTTTATTTTTGGTACACCAAATCAAACAATCGATAAGAACTAATCCCAACATTACTAATCTCAATATTATTAATACACCATATTCAATACTATTCTTATACACCTTGCCAAACGACCCTATAATGTAACATATTCCGTAGGTGCTCTTACATTTATTTGAGTAAACTTCTCGCTAAAAAATATTACCCCTACTACGTACTATGTTTTGACTTACAATCGTCATAGCTATTGGGCTGGCCTTCACGGGACCATGGTCCAAGTCCACGGGATAAGTCTGACAGTAGGCCGTAGGTGTCCAACTCCACAAAATCCATCCCGTTAGTCAGTGGCCTCTATTGATTTTCCCTTCAAAAGCTTGTACTGCAAGGATGGAGCCATGGGAAGCATTGGATGTAGATGATTCTGACCTCCATTCTCTCCTCCGACCTTGTAAGCGTCTCCACCATAACTCTAATCTCTCCAACACCTCTTCAACTTCTCCGCCACTTCTGCCTTCTTCTTCTCAATCTTCTGAATCCTCACAATCACAAAATTCTCAACATCAGTTACAGTCACCGCCTCAACGCCTCATTCCCGGACTGACATGTGCCGTGCAAGCTGCAATGATCCAACGAACTTACGATCGTCAATCTCATAGTTTCATGACCTCTCAAGGTGACAATCTGATACCTACGCAAGAGTACATTAGGAGAGCCATCAAAAATTCTTCCGATTTCGACCATGATTTCCAATCCAATCCATGGCTTTATGCCCTTGAATTTGATGGTATGTCTATTAGGGATTTGTTCCTTTATATAATTCATTGCTGACTTCTTCCCTGATTCTATTCCACCCACACAATTCTTAGAATATTTGTCAAATTACTACATGCTGTTCTGACTACTATATCAAAATAAAACAATCTTTTTTTATCTCTTATTAGTAATTTGTATGGGTAAAAATCGAACTAGAGAAATTCGATACGCGGAGACGATTGTCATGAGTGACCTGTAAATCAATATGGGTAGTTTGGCCAAGGTCGATCAGTGATCAACAGAATAAGTCGTTGAGTGGTTCATCAGGGCTGAGGTCGAGCAACATAGATAGAAGTGACGACTAGTATATCTTTGGAACCTTCAAAGGGAATATTCTGTTGAATATTTTCTCTATTTGTACCTTTTAGGGTTCTTTGGGAATATCTCATATAAACAGTACAAGAGATAAGGCAAAAGGCATATAATATTCCATATGATAAGAACTCCTTTGAAAAGCAAGCTCTCTAGATAAATACAAAGAACACCTTTCTAAAGAGATTCGTCTTTTTGGATTATTCCTAGTCATTTCAACCAGATCTGAGAAACTTATCAATATTCGTATAGCTTTTTGTCACTCATCATTGTGAGGGGAGGAATCATCCACCTCATTCAATATTGGGTGAATCTTCCTCTTTATTTACATTTGGTGCCATTTATTGCCATTTAGTATCCGATACTTCTAACATATTATTGCCTTTGAAACATTTAATGTATAGTGCATTAAATCTGCCTCATCCCTGTCTACATCTCCTGCATTGCTTATCTTAGATTTGAAGTTATTATATTTAACTAGGATTAACCTCTTAAATAACTGATTAATTAGTTTAGCCAAAGATTATCATTTTTTGGTCAAACAATTTAGCGTTGTTTGTGGGAATGTTCTAGTTAAAACCTTAGTCTCTTTCATATCTAAAAGAAAACAACACAAAACCTTGCTTTTTTTTTGCATGCATAGTTGAACATGGTAGGTAATGGAGAGGAAAGAATGAAAGCAGTAGTCTTACTAACAACCTTCTAAACACCATCAACGAAGTCGCTGGAACAAATGCTGAGGATGTGATACCAAATGCCTCCCCAGGGCGGAGTGGTTCACCGTTCGCCCCTCCCTCACGGCAGCATCACAACCTTACACGGTAAAGGGGTCTTTTCATCCATAACGGAACATGCACCACTGGCAATGAAAAAGCTATTCGAGGTGTGGTTGACAAACACGCTAACCAGCATTCTCAACAAGCCCTCCCAAAGGACGAACAAAGAAGATGCGAGAGATTGTGACGCACCAGCGACAGATGAGCAGCACGACCCTCCTCTTGTAACATGTATTATTCACAATTTTAGTGGTACAGGTAACGACACCCTCATAGCCATTATGATTAAGATAGAGGAGATGGAGAACGAGAACAAAATCCTCTGCAACCAAATGAAAGAGCATCAAGAAAGGGTAGACAAAATACCAGGCGCCCTAAAACTCTTACCAAAAAGGGACGCCAACCGTTTTGTTGAGCAACCGTACAGTAACGAAGCTATACCACACGCCATACCTAAAACTTTCAAAATGCCGCCATACTTTAAAATATACGATGGCACGATAGACCCTGAGGATTATGTGACCCACTATGTCACCGCAGTAAAAGGCAACGACCTCTCCAAAGAACAAATGTCTTCCATAATGCTGAAGAAGTTTGGTAAAACCCTCACTGGAGGAGCACTAACCTGGTACTCATAGCTACCTGCACGCTCCATAGAGATGTTCGAGGAAATGGCCGACAAATTTGTAAATTCCCATGCTAGGGCTAAAAAAGCAGAGGCGAGGGTGAACGACATTTTTGCCCTTAAACAGTCACCTAGCAAAGGGCTAAGACATTTCCTCACCCGATTCAACCGTGTGAGGATGACCTTACCAAATGTATTAGAGGGAATGGTAGTAGCAACTTTCCAGAATGGGTTAAACAGGAACGGTTCGAGGGCAATAGGAAAATTGCTAAGACGACTGATGAAATATCCCCCAACCACTTGGGACGACATACACGACACCTACTGTGCCGAAGTACGGGCTAACAAGGACGACCTCAATGGGCCAACTCAACAGCTAACCTCGGTCCAAATAGAATCCAGGAAAGACCGAAGAAATGACAACAAAAGGGACCATGCAGGCCCGCGACCCAACCGTGAAAGACATCAACCATATGTCAAAGTCGCCGTCGTACCACCTCCCTATCACGGTGACGGCCCACCTAGGCCGCAAACAGGGACTCACCAAAGTGAAAGAGGTATGCCTCCACTAATATCTGCTCACAATTTATGTGTTTCTTCCTCAGAAATAGTCTACGCCCTATAGAAGCTCGGCTAAAAGTGAAGTGGTCGTAGAAGATGAGGCCCGACCCAAATACTAGAAAGTCAAATGCAGTCTGCAAATTCCATCAGGAACGGGGCCGCAAAATCGAGGACTGCATTTCTCTAAGGTAAGAGGTCGTGACTCACCAAGGGCATTTGAAAGAACTTTTGAGCGATCGAGGAAGGGCAAACTTTGCTCGAGGACACGAACAATATCAGGGTCCACCAAAATTGCCCTCCCCAACTCGAACCATCCAAATGATCATAGGAAGAGGCGATGACGCGTCAATCAATAGCGTAAAATGCATGACCACCCACAAGCTGAAATGGTCAATCACTCACGCACGGTATGACGAACTCGAAGAGAGTATCATCTTCGATAAGTTGAATACCCACGGTTTGGTCTTTCCTCATTATAACGCCCTTGTTATTACTTTACGCATATTAGATACCGACGTAAAATGTATTATGGTCGATAATGAGAGTGGCACGTGAATTGTCCACCCTTGAGTTTTCGCACAAATGAAGCTCGAGGATAGGATAATGTCATGCTGCATCACACTAACGAGTTTTAACAATGCAGTTGAGCGGGCATCACTTTGGAGACCACGTTCCACATCATAGACCGGGATACGACATATAACACAAGCATAGGTCGGCCCTAGATACACGCCATGAAAGCTGTCCCCTCTAGCTTATATCTACTCATCAAATTTCCCACCCCTTGGGGGGTATTCAGCATCCGAGGAGCGTAACGCACTGCTCGAGAGTGCTATCGCATCGCCCAAGACTGCACACACACCAAACAATTGAAAGACAAAGTCGAGTCCGCATAGCAATTAATAGGGTCGGGGTCAAGTGATGACGAAGGGAAAGATGTCATCAAAGACCCCGAAATCCTAGAGGCCGCAGGGTCGACCGTAGAGGATCTCGACCCCGTACAACTCGACAAAGACGACCACAACAAAAAAGCCTACATCGGCCACAAACTTCAGGAACCAGGTAAATTCCATCAACTTTTAGCTAACAACGCAGACTTGTTTGCCTTTTCCCATACAGATATGCTAGGCATCTCGAAAGAGATGTATCGACATACAAGTTGAACGTCGACCCATTTTATCCCCTAGTGCGGCAAGTTAGGCGGAATTTTAACTCCGTAATAAATGATGCAGTCTGCAAGGAGGTTGAAAAACTGCTGGTAAACGGCTCTATCAGAGAATCAAAGTACCCTCAATGGGTCGCCAACGTGGTCATCGTGAAAAAGAAGAATGGGAAATGGCGTATGTGCGTAGACCTCACAAATTTGAACAAAGCCTGCCCTAAAGACTCATTCCCACTACCCTATATTGACTAGGTCATTGACGCAATGACCAAGCATGAGCTATTAAGCTTCTTGGATGCCTACTCGAGCTACAACAAGATCCTCATGGTGGAGGAAGACCAAGAAAAGACCACTTTCGTCACTCACCAGGGGAACGTACTACTACAGAGTGATGCCTTTCGGACTGAAAAACGTAGGGGCGACGTATCAAAGGTTGGTGAAAAAAAAATTCAAAGACCAGCTCGCCAAAATCATGGAAGTCTACATCGACGACATGTTGGTCAAGTCAAAAAGGAAAGAGGATCACATCGACCATTTGAAAGAGGCCTTCGACATACTCAGATGGTATGGTATGAAATTGAACCCCGAAAAGTGTGCCTTCGACGTAACCTTAGGAAAATTCCTCGGCTTCTTGGTATCACAACGAGGCATCGAGGTCAACCCTGACTAAATCAAAGCTATAGAAGGAATACCGGAGAACCTAACCAGTAAGAAATAGGTACAAAAGCTGACCGGCCGCATAACTGCCCTATCAAGATTCATCTCATGGTCCTCCGACAGATGCCATAAATTGTTCGGCATACTCAAGAAAGACAATGGACTCCAATGGAACTCCGAGTGCGTCGAAGCCTTGAAAGAATTAAAAGCGTACCTATCTTCCATACCGTTGTTCACTAAGGTAGAACCTGGGGAATGTCTTCTTATTTACCTGGCCATGTTCGGTGTAGCCGTGAGTATGGTCCTAGTTCGAGAAAACAAAGGTACACTGTCCCCCATTTATTATATTAGCAAAACTTTGGTTGACACTAAAACAAGGTACCCACACCTTGAGAAGCTAGCTCTAGCTTTGGCCGTAGCTTCAAGAAAGCTTAGACACTATTTCCGGTGTCACCCCATCTCAGTGGTCACGACCTTTCCCCTAAGGAGCATTCTGCACAAACCCAAGTTACCGGCCAGGTTGGCCAAATAGGCCATAGAATTGAGCGAGCATGATATAACTTATCAATCGCGAATGACGATAAAGTTGCAAGTGCTCGTCGACTTCGTCGTCGACTTCAGCACAAAAATATTGCCTGAAATCGAAAAGGAAGCCGCCCATACCTCCCCCAGAATACACGACCTATGGTTTTTGTATACCGATGGAACCTCTGACGCGTCGGGATCAGGATTGGGACTCGTGCTCGAGGCCCCAACAGGCGAAGTAATTCACCAGTCCATAAAATGCCCAGATATGACTAACAACGAAGCCGAGTACAAGGTCGTGATTGTAGGGCTATAGTTAGCACTCAAGTACGAAGCGAAGCGAGTCATCCTACGGTGCGACTCCTAACTCTCCATCAATCAAGTCACATGGACTTTCCAAATCAAGGAACAAAGACTACAAAAACAGGCCGAGATTTGCAAGCTGTTACCCGAGTTCGACGAATGCCAGCTCGACCAAATCGCTCGAGCACAGAATATCGAAGCAGATGGCCTTGCCAAACTGACAGCGCCTACTAAAAGCATAACTAGATAAGGGAACATGGTCACTCCTCCTCTACTTATCGATCGATCAAATCGAGGTACGAACTATAAACCTAACTTGGGACTAGCACAATCATATTGTCACATATTTGCAGGACAGAATGCTTCCAGACGATAAAAAAGAAGCCAAGAAGCTTCGAATGCAGGCGGCCAGGTACAACGTCATCAGCAACGACTTGTACAAAAGAACGTATGGCGGTCCCTCAGCAAAATGCTTAGGCCCAAACCAAACGCGACGCGTTCTAGAGGAAGTCCACGAAGGCCACTGCGGAGCTCACACCAACAATCGATCCTTAGTTATATGCCTCATACAAGCAGGCTACTACTGGCCCACAATGAAAAAAGAGGTTGTCGACTTCTTAAAAGAATACGAACAATGCCAAAGATACGCCCCCATGATCCACCAAGTGGGAAAGCACCTCCACTCAGTCACCTCGCCTTGGCCTTTCATCAAATGGGGGATGGACATCGTCGGACCCCTCCCGACGAGACGAGGTAATGTACGATTTCTTTTAGTTTTAACTGACTATTTTTCCAAATGGGTGGAAGCAGGTGCATTCACCCAAATACGCGAGCATGAAGTAATCGCCTTCATATGGAGGAATATCGTGTGCCGTTTTGGCCTCCCCAAAGAAATCAGTTATGACAACGGGCCTTAATTCACTATAAAAAAAATCGTTGAGTTCTTCGAGAAATGGCATTTCAAAAGAATACTCTCCACGCCATATCCTTAAGTAGGCAATGGGCAAGCGGAGTCCTCCAATAGATGAATATTGAATATCATGAAGAATAAGCTCGAGAACACCAAGGGACTATGGCCGGAGTTGCTGTCGGAAGTGCTATGGGCATACTACACAATGCCAAAAACAAACATAGGAGAAACACCGTACTCATTGGTCTATGGGACCGATATAGCAATACTGGTCGAGGTTGGAGAACCAAGTCTAAGGTACTCATACGAAAGTGGGTCAAGAAACCAAGAGAGCAGGAGGCAAGGCCTCGATGAGGCCGAAGAATGAAGAGACATGGCGTACATAAGGATGGTCGCCCAGAAGCAACAAGCAGAACGATACTACAACAAAAAAGCCAAGATCAGACCGCTTAAAGTTGGGGACTACGTACTAAAAGCCAAAACACAGACAAGCAAGGATCTACGAGAAGGAAAACTAGGGATTAATTGGGATGTCCCATACAAAATTACGGCGACCACAAGCAAAGGGTCGTTCCAACTAGAAACGATGGAAGGAAAACTACTACCAAACAACTGGAACATCACCCGCCTCAAGTACTTCAACTTCTAAGAAAAGATGTTCTCCGAGCCATACTCTTTTTCCCTCACCTGAGTTTTGTCCCAATTGGGTTTTCTCGGGGAGGTTTTTAACGAGGCGACGAGGAGGAAATTTCGAAGTTAATCATGAGTAGGTGAGTACAGGTTAGCAAGTTCGTTGCTCGACCCCTCAAATACTTCTCCAGGTCGACCAATTAAGGGACTAGGTAGACTGGGACTGGAATACTGATGTCGCCCAAACTCAGACCTCAAGTATAAGTAGTGAGGTGGTTGATGCAATAATAAAACCCAATGCAAGTCGGGTTGAATCCACAGGGAGTTAGAATTGGGATTAGTTATATATTTAGTATAATTGTATTATGTGCCTCAAATTACACTTTCACATTCTTGTTTGATTGTTTCTATTTCTACTTTAAACTATTGATTACAATTATAAAACTAAAAAACAATATTTTTGGTTTTGATTGTTTTTAAAATGATAAAAGATCTAGGGCCGTGACTTCCACCTAGGTGGTTACCTAACGGATTGTAAACTCTAGGGCAAGTTTAATTAGTTGGGGTTGTAATATAGCAAAAACACGCAATTACCCACTCTATACCTCTCGGTAGTTTGAGTGATTTTGCTCAATTTGGCTTTCTCAAGTCCAAATGGCCATTGCACAAAACAAGTGATGTATGCTCAAGTCGGGTCTTACTATCTCTAGATTTGATCCTTTAATTGGGGCTATCAATTTCTTGAGTTCACCCAAATTCCTTGTTAGCCAGGTTTTCCTAGACTTAGTCTCTCTTTCTCAAGTAGAGACTAAGTCAATTAGGCATGAATCAATATTTGCAACCATTAATTCTTGAATTCAAGCAAGATTTAGGCTAAATATCACTAACCCAATCACAAAAAAGCCCTAACTCAAACACCCATTAAGTACCCACACTAGGGTTGAGCCACAACCCTAGTTACAAATTTAGCTACTCATGAAAAATGAAGAAATTAAGATAGAGTGCATAATAACTTATTATGGAAAGAAAATATAATGTTTAGAAGCTAATCTAGTACAATATTACTCAAAGTAGTAAAGAAAAATGGCTCAGGTGCTCTACAGTGATACAACTTGACCTAAAAATGACATAAAGTTCTATTTATACTAAGCTGAAAATATCTGGCAAAAATGCCCTTGCGAAGATTGTGCGGCCGCACAATTCTACTGCGGTCCGCACTCCTTTAACTTGGACTTTGGCTGAGCAAGACTTCTGTGAACTGCATAAAAATAAGTGCGGTGGCACAAAAATGGTGCGGTCCGCATTTTTTCTTAGACATAAAGTTTCATCTCTATGATCTTTGTCTTCTGCGGACAACATAATTGTGAGTGCGGCCGCACTTGTTATCCTACAGCCGCACAATAATTGTGCAGTCCGCATACTCTGAAGAAATACTGACATTGCTCTTTCCTTGGTTTACGACCGCACACAATATTGTGCGGTCCGCACTATGGGCTTGTTTGCATTGTTTTGGTCCTTGTCCACTTTTGACTCCTTTATGAGTTGATTTTGACTTCTTTGGCTCGTTTCCCAATATTCCTACACTAAAGAACATTTGATTAGTTCTTGGGAATACCTTTAAGCATTTTTGAGCCAAAACGCAAGTAAAGAGAGCAAATAAGCGGTCAAAATCCCTACTTATCAACTCCCCCAAACTTAAGCTTTTGCTTGTCCTCAAGCAATTAAGGCAATTCCCACCTCCATTAGAAAAAGGGATATTTTAGCTGGCCTAAGGTGAATCAATCACACATCAACTAGGACCAACAATTACCCACAACACGTATGAATTATTAACAATGCAATGATTTGACTTTTTGAGTACAATAGTTCTAATGTGACACTAGAGCATCAAGAGTTGACTTTATTCATCAAGGAAGCTCGCTCTTTCATGTAGATCATTTTGGATCCCAAACTCTTCCTCCTTTACTCTCCATTAGAAAATCTTACTTTAGAATGTACGCTCGAAGCAAGGATTGTGAAAAGTTCATTCATCTCTCTCAAAAGAATGTCACAAGTCCGGCTCTAAGTACTATAAGCTTGCCCCTCATTTAAATCACCACTAAAGTAAGCTCACTCAACTTGAAATCATGTAGGGTTTTTCGGGATGTAATGAAGGCTTTTTGGATCAAGGTAGGTCTTGATAAATTAGAATGGGTTCATCTTTCCTTAAACACTCCATTTTCTTATT